TAGCTGGCCTGGAACTCACTATGTAGACCAGGCTGGCCTTGAACTGACAGTGATCTGCTTTCCTCTGCATTCCAAGTGCTGGGACTAAAGGCGTGCGCCACCATGCCCAGTTTGCACTTTCCTTTTATTCTTTCTCATGGAAGAGCATTCTTTTTTTGGTGGCTGAGTATTGCTGAATTGCTGGAACCACGCCTGGCGAATTTTCCAAACTCTTTAGGATTGTTACAAGAATTTGGATTCAGTCAGTTGGCCAGGCACTAGGGTAACTGGAAAGGGTACGTGTTTTATAGCCACACAGCTGTGGTTAGGTCCTTGCTTGGTGGCTGGCTGAATTTAGGCAAGCTGTGATCCCCAGTATGCCTCTTCTGAATCGGCTCTAGATGGGAGTTGAGGTAAGTGAGACACAACTACAGTGAGGGAGGCCTGTTACCAGTGCTAAGCACCTGATGGGCACCCAGGAGGTGTTCCCTTCCCTCCCTTCCTACAGTAGGTGCCAAAATGGAATTACAGCTTAGCTTTCCAAGAAAACTTCTTGAGGATTTCTGTGAGCCAGATTATTGGCTAAGACAAGGTGAAATCTACTGGAGAGAAGATGTTTCTGGGCCAAACTAGACTTGGAACTGGCTGGCAGTGCTGCTGTTGACACAGTTGAAGCGCAGCATTGGGTTTGTTGTTCAGAGTTTATTAAGTAGATTCAGTCTTATATATGATATACAGTTTCAAAAGGAAAAGGATTCCACATACGTATGAAATCAGTGCATTTAGCAGTAATACCATGGAGATAACAGCTCGATTAACAGCTCATTGGTCTTCTGTTAAGTGAGGAAAAGAGGGTGTCAGCCTGTGCTAGTCATTCCACAAACAAAACAGAATTTAGTCGCATCACGTAGAAAGACATCCTAAGAATTAAAATATTAAGCCACATTTACTGGAAAAACTCACTATACAGAACACAAATACTTTTTATAGAGAGCATTGAGGAGGAAGTCCTCACCTGCTTAGAAGAGCCACATTAAGTTGCATAGGTGCATATCTGTAAAAATATAATTTAGAGGTGAGACCATTGATTAATAAAGTCACGTTTAAAAGTTGGTGCCATCCACTGCTTGCGGTAAGTGCCTTATGCTTACTGTCTGAAGCCCCTGCTGCTCCCCAGAAGTGGTGAGCCACCTCTATAGGAACCCTGAAGAAGCGCTTGTACCATCTGCACTGAAAGTCAGTCTCATCTGACATGGAATTCACGCTCTTCCAAAACATGTCTTAATTATGCCAGCAGATTGATGACCTCCTGTGTTGTCCCTAAATCCTGCTTGGCTTGCTCCTGAAGGCTTATGAGTCATCTTGACCTTCCCATGGCCAGGCTTCCCCAGAGAACTGTTCCTCCCAGAGCTGGGTGTTGAAGTCCTGCCTTGCTTCTCCTCTGCCTGTGTGCTACCCACCAGCCGACAGGAGGCGCTATCCTGACTCCTCTCCTCAGTGGATGCATGATAGAGGCACAGGGGCTTCTACCAGGCGGAGTGTGTCGGCAGATCTGAGTTCTGGGTGGTGTAGATATTCATTTCTGTTTTTAGGTGGAAACAGGTACAAAGTGAGAGGTTTTGTTTTGTGGCTTTGCTAAGCAGATGAGCTTAGTGAGGTGCATCTTCCTCCTTGAGAGCGAGTCTTGCAGAACACACAGGGATGGGGCATCTGTACATGTAAACAGTACACTTCCACTGAGTCCAAAATTAGGAGCAAAATACAAAGGTTCACATTGGTCTTAGGTAGATACAGGCGAGAAAAGATTGAGCTGTTGAGCTCAGAAACGACAAAACAAAGTTTCTAAAGCACCACTAAATTATATAAAAATCAGACCACGGACGGATTGAAACTGGTATTCTGGTGAAATACTTTACTATCTTGTAAAAAGTTTTACAAAAAATTACAAATTAAAAGTATCAACCCTCTGAGTTCAAAGCAGCATTTTGAAAATGAACTGGTAGTTAATCCTGTAACCACCTGTGGAGTCTTATGTGGCCCTTGAGAATAGGGAGGGACAGATGGGTTCCACCTGTTCCAAGTCCTCTAAGACCCTCCTAGCCCTGCCTGTCCCCTCCCCAACACCATTCTTGAGCGGTGACAGAAAATTATTTCAGATGGGTCACGCACACTATCGCTGGACTATAAGGTCATCCACCAGTAAGACCAAGTGCCCACTTCAATGCCTTCTCAAAGGGTCTACCCTGCACAACTCTGGGACTATTCTGGCATTTCCTTTGTACCTTGAGATCGCCGATGATTAATTTGTGCCCTGAGCCCTCCATAAAACTCATATGACTATGGGGCAGGGTTTTACAGAGCTCCCTCTGGGAGAAGGCAGGCCTGCTGGGTCCACCAGAACCAGCTGTGGGTGCTCCAAGTCAGGAGGGGAGGACTTGAAGCTGCATCTTTTAAAACAAGCAAAACAGAACAAGTTCTCTGACTGAACTAGCTAATGGAATCCTGTTTCCACACTAACTTGCTCCTGATGTGGCCGGCTCTGGGGCTTCAGGTATAGTTTGTCTGGGAGGGAGCTCACCTAAGGGGTGGGGTCAGCATGACAGCATCCAACTGTCCTGCAGCCCCACTGGGACCATCAGCCTTGGCGTTTGTTCTTTTTTCTTGAAAACACATGGAACCAATGCCCACACTGCAGCTCAAGAGCAGGCTGCCAGCAGTGTCTGATCATGACAGCTTGCACTTAGGAAAATGCCACTTCAGATGAAGCCTATGCTCATTCTTATGAACGTGTCCCATAGTGGTGGAGGGAGGCACCCCTTCCTAGGCTCTCTCTCCTGTCTTCCAAAAAATGCAAACCATTTGTGTCTAGCTTGTATACTGCCTCTGGGAGCAGAAATGACATGGTCAGCAATTGATACCAAAAATTCTAGGGCGGCGATTGTCTCTGCCAGTTTTTAACATTAAAAGTTTCACAAATTGCCCGGGGTAACATTTTGCAAAAAGATCTACTGATTACTTTGTAGGATTCACACAAAAATAAATATTTACATAAATTCAAACGTCCAGGAGTCCTACTGAGCAGGTAGGGAACTGGGCACATGGTCAGCAGCTATGGGAAGGCCTTGGGCACTGGAACTTGTGCTGTATGAAGGGGGCTAAGGGTGTCCTGGCCCTGACCTGAGGCCTGGGGAGGGGGCACATGAAGGCAGAGGTGGTATGGCTGGGTGGGCACTGGAGGCCACGTGAGACACCACATTTAACCTCAAGGTGGAAGTGTGCAAGGGGAGCCCTGCCTTACGGCCCTGCATCTGAACAGGTAGGGACTGCCTGGCCACCCCCATTGAGGAGTGGCCTGTCAGACTGCCACACACAGTCACTGCCACAATGCTGGCTTGGGAAAGGGCACCTGCTCAGATTTCAAGTGGCTCTCTGTGGCTATCCTAGTGTCCACTCAGCCCTGGCTCCCCTGAGGCCTCTTTGCTCTAAGGGAGAAAAGGCAACAGGGCTTCTGCTGGCTCTGGGCAGGGGCAGGCAGCAGAGTGCTGCTATCATGGCTACAGAGTGTTAAGGGAGAGGCTCCCGGGCCTGCTGAGGTCTGGATGAATCCCTGGTTTTAGCAGCATTGATAGATATTGCACGGAGCAAGAGAAGTGCCTATCAGGGAGGAAGGAAACCAGGCCAGCTTTTTCTTTCTGTTCTTTTCACACTCCAGGGACTGGGCTTCTTACAGAACAGGCCCTTCCAGAAGGGCTAGTCCTAGGAGAACCCAAGTAGCTTCTCCCTGTCCAGTGACAATCCGATCCCTTTACTCCAACTGTGAGGTGAGGGTACGGAAACAGGAGTCCACTCTGGGGTACACAGATGCGTGATGAAGCTAGCCCTGAAGAAGTGGCCCTTCTAGCAGGTATCTGAGAGGCTGTGGGCCTGTGCACCCACCAAGTGTTTGGACCTGGATCCCTAGCAGCAAGGTGAGGACCAGTACGTACCCTGCTGACCAGCCACCAGCTCCCAGCACTCGGTCCTGCCAAGCAGCTACAAGGACCAGGCAACAGCAAGCTGCTGGTTCTAAGGGCTGAGCCCTCTGGGCTCTGGCTCCTGGACACTGGGTCTGACTTACCTCCCAGCAGATACATTATGTGGGAGTTGGGGAGACAGCCATTCAGAACAGGCTTGGAAAAGCGCACGCTGGAGTGTGAGGTAGAATACAGGTAACCGTGTGACTGGGGCTCTGTAGAATGGGTGGGTGCCTTTTGTTTCCTTTTCAGTGTGGGTGAGGTCTTCCTATTTGGCAGTGCCTGGCAGTGTCCCTGTAGCAGCACTGGGATCTGTAACAACACAGCCTGGTGGAGTGTAGTGGCCTTCCCAAGGGTGTACGGGCACTCGGAGGAGAGCCAGCTGGCGCCTACTCTGCCTCTGCCAGCCCCTAGCCCACGTCAGTGTAGTGATATGGAATGTTAGGTACAGGGGTACATCCTTCTTATCAGACAGACACAGACTGGCAATCTGTACAAACACAAAAGAATCCATTTTCAGAAAAATAAATTACTAAGGGGAGAGGAAGAAAGGGTCCACTTTGCTTTTCTCAATAAATATGCAATTCTGCTCACCTAAGACTTGAAAGGTATTATGAGGGGTGTCGGGGGTGGGTTCTAACATCAGGGTCCACAAAGGTGATTCTAAATAGAGCTGCAGCCCCAGTGCCTTGGTCAGGGGAGCCCCAACCCTTCTAGAGCTGCCCCGTTGGCCTCTTCCAAGCAGGTCAGAGCACCCGTGTGGTGAGATTCCAAAAGTGTCCTTGTGCCCAAAGTCTCAGATGCTCGGAGTGTGGCTAGAAACAGCTCGTTTGGATCCCACCTCTTTCAGAAAACAATGTACCAAATGGTGAGGCAGGAAGCCAGGTCCGGGATGGCCTCCTTCCCTGGCGTAGTACACTCTGTGGGCCAGCAGGGTCAGTTCTGCTGTAAAATGAGGTTTTCCAGTTCATCTGCAGAGCGCAGCAGGAAGGCCGCGGACTCTCGGTAGCCAGCAATGAGCTGCCGCACAGCACTGATCTCCGTGGGGCTAAGCTGGGCGGTGGGCATGGTCCTGCTGGTGCTGTTGCTGGAAGGGGTAGGCATGGGAGGGGTGGGGGTAGAGGCCCCGCCTTTCATGCTCAGGTCCGTGGGCCCTGTGGAGAGGGAAAGATGGTTTAGAGGATGTGAAACCCTCTGCCTGCATCTGGGAAGTAAGACATGCCCTTGGTGCCTTTGTGAATGGACAAAATTCAAGATCCTAGTCTATTTTCCTGATGGCTATATCCCCAGGGTCTAGAATGGAACTTACACATGACAAGGGTTCTAGGTTAATCCTCAGGATGAGCTTGCAAAGAAGGGGGTCTTACTGTCACCATATGACAGACACAGGTGAGTTAAGAGGTCTGCTCAAGATCACATGACATCTACCTTAGGAACAGGGTGGCATGCGCCAAGGGCCTGGGCTTTGGCATCTGGCAAAGCTTCATCCTGGCTTCCTGCCTCTGACTATGCCTTCCACTACTTTCTGAGGACTCTTACCAGACACATACCCAGCTCTAGTCCCCAGCTGAGTAGGATACAGCTTTGAGGTAAAGAAAACATGCCCATTAACACTGGAGCCTTACCCCCCTCCCCCATGATAGTCAAACTTGGAACAGATAGCCCCAGGAAAGAACTGTGGGACAAGTGCTATGAGAAAAGGCTGTTGGCAAGTCTGGAGCAACAGGTAGGCTGAAAGGGGAGATGGACAACGCTGAGCACCATACACAGTGAGGCCACAGAAGGACAGCCACAATGTACTCTGGCGTGTGTTTGGTTGGACTGGGGCAAGGCCCGTTTCCTAGCTTGGCCAGGCAGTGAGCACCCTGTCCTAGAAGTGCTGCAGGTGCTTGTGGATGGAAGAGGATGCAGGTATGTTGAGTCTCAGCACCTCAACTACTTCCTCTGAGGAGTTTCTCTGTCCCAAATGAGGAGTAAGGTTGATGTTACTCGGGTACTACTGGGCTGGAATGGCTATCAAAGGACCCAGGAGGTTTCCTGGAGAAATTCTCTACTGTCTGCCCTCTGCTGGCAAATTGTGGCAGCAAAGAGGGTGCCTCAAGTCTTGGGGGAGAGGGGACCCCAGGTCCCATCTCCCCTCTGCCTTTCCTAAGCAGCTCTGTGGAATGGGCTGCTGGCTTTGGGATTAAGCAAGTATATTCAAGTCTTGCTCTGTCACTTCATGGACAATTCTGAACTTTTCTAAGCCTCAGATCCAAAAACAAAGCAGGGAACCTCTGAAGAACAGAAGCCTCCATACGGCTTGGGAGGCACAGGCTGGGTACAACAGACAGGCCTTTCAGCCTGTCGGGGGGCGGGGGCATAGCTGTGGTGCCCACAGGGACAGACTTCTCAGTGGGTCTTGGGCTTTTGGAACGGACTCCTAGTAGACATGGACGTGCTTGGAGCTTGAAAGGCTTTCTTGTGTTTAGCAAGAAAACAACCACAGAGAGAACTTGGAAGAGTAACAGTCAGAGCCCTTGGTGGGCCTCCTGCTACCCCAGCTAGTTGTTTCCCTGCTGTTGCCCATCCCCTTCTGTACGTCCCTGCTTGCATCCTGCATCCTGGAGGTTATTTTACAGGTAATGTACAGTGTGAATCTTTTCTGGCCTATCAGAATCTTTTCTGGTCACAGTCCTCCTTTGCTTAGAGTCCTCTGACCATTTCCTTCTGCTGCCTGCAGTGGAGATGGACCAGAAGCCTGCTGCACTTCCTTACTGCACTACGAGTTTTTTGTTTTTCTTTTTTGAGAGAGGGTCTCACTATTTTGCCCTGGCCAACCTAGAACTCACTATGTAGATACCAGGCTGGCTTCATAAAGATCCATCTGCTTCTGCCTCTCAAGTGCTAGGATTAAAGATGTACATTACTACACCCAGATTTATCATATGGTTTCGAAGGCAAGGCTTACTCATCCCTGCACCCATACTGTTTTATGCTTCTGTAGAGATGGACAAACCTTACCTTTGGAGACATCTAGACTTCATGTAACATCTGGGGATAAATTATGGAAATGACAGCTGGGAGTGGTGGCACATGCCTTTAATCCTAGCACTTGGGAAGCAGAGGTAGGAGGATCTCTGTGAGTTCAAGGCCAGCTGGTCTACATAGTGAGTTCCAGGTCAGCTGGGGCTACAGGGAGACCCTGTCTCAAAAAGACCAAAAAA